GACAAAGAATTGCTTCAACCCAGGAGGCGGAGCTTGCAGTGAGCTGAGATTGCACCACTGCACTCTAGCCTGGGTGACAGAGCAAGACTCTGTCTCAAAAAAAAAAAAAAAAAAAGGAGGGTCTACCTAGGTGAGAGAGGCCGTTTGGCCCATCCTATTATTTGGGAAGGTTTTTTGCTTTGGACCATCCACCCAACATTTCATAAAATTCACATGCTTTTTGGATAAAAGGTCTTCAAACACACGGATTACTCCATTTATACAACACCTCTTTACCTGTTCCTAAAATTATATGGGCAAGTTGCTCACCTCTCTCATGGGCCCTGGCTGAGAGCAGGAGCCTCCTGTCTTTATTCACTGTAGCTCTCTTAGCATGGTGCCTGGCAGGCAGGAGCGGCTCAATGTGTGCTGCCTTAGTGAACTGCCATGTGTTATGTTCTATTTTTATTCTTTTTTAATTTCTTATTTTTAGAGACAGAGTCTCACTTTGTCACCCAGACTGGAGTGCAGTGATGCAATCATGGCTCACTGCAAGCTCGACCTCCTAGGCTCAAATGATTCTTCTGCCTCAGCCTCCTGAGTAGCTAGGACTACAGGGATGAGTTACCACACCTAGCTAATTTTTTTAGTTTTTATGGACACGGGGTCCCACTATGTTGCCCAGGCTGGTCTTGAACCCCTGGACTCAAGTGATCCTCCTTCCTTCGCCTCCCAAAGTACTGGGATTACAGGTATGAGCCACCTCACCCAGCCATATCTTTATTTCTTGATTGGTCTTCAATCAGGCCATGGCTCCCCCCAGCCTTGAGGAACTGGAACGGACAGACTGTGTCTCACTTATCTTTTTATTCCTAGAAACTGGCACAGAAGCCCTTAACACTGTAAAATTTTTCCCAGCCTCCAGCTATATGCCAGGCATTGTGGAAGATACAAGGAGAAGAAAGATAGGATTGCTGCCTGTGATAACCTGCCTTTTATTTATAGGAACACTGATAAAAATTACTCAAATGTGAATGTTTAATATTGAACTGTGTTAATGCCACATATACATTACTCATTTCATTCTCCCAACAGCCCCTTGATAGAGGGTTTCTTCCCCACCCCCACCCTACCCCGCAATTTTACAATCAAGGAAACTGCAGCTCTGAGCAATTAAGGAATTTGCCTTGGTTCTAACTTGCTCTCAGCTAGAGAGGGCAGAGCAAGGATGCGCACCCAACACAATTAGGAATATTGAGCAAGACCGGGCAGTGTGTGGTTTCACACCCAGGATGATGGGAGGGCCAAAAAGGACACACCATAATCAAACAGCAGTGAGGGCCACTGTTCTAACAAAACTCCTGGGGTTGCAAGTGACAGAAATGGAAATTCAACTCAATGTGGCTTTAAAAAGAGAGAAAGGAAATTCATTGGCTCAGTATATGGAAAAGCCCAGGCATCTGAACGTGGCTGGACCCCAGATGCTCAAACAATGTCAGGAAGGCTCATCTCTAAGCCTGGGTTCCGCTTTCCTCTGGGTTCCTTGCCAGGCAGGCGTCTGTTCCGATGATGGCACAGATGTCACCAGCTCCAGGAGCACATCTTGCAACTTAGCATCCCCGGCCAAAAAAGAGGGCACCATTCCCGAGAACTCCAGCAAAGTCCTGAGTTTGACTCTTATCCCTAAGCACACTGCTGTGTGTCTGACTGGCCTGGGTCATTTTCCCACCCCAGTAGGTGAGAATGAAGTTGTGGATCAATCTCCCCAAGCGGACATGGGCCTCAAGAGGAAAAGGACGAACCCCAAGGCACTGGCCACCAACAGGCAAAGACAACAGGCTTCAACTCTGGCCACTATATTTGTTTAGCTTCTCTCCCAGCCTGATACAATAAAATAACATTTTAAAATTAAATGTAAAGTTAGTAAAAATAATTGTTATAAATTAAATAGTAAAAATTATTTACATTTAAAATATGTAAACAAAGAATATAAAGGAAAAGTTTAAATAGATGAATGAAATGATTTTTTGAAACTACGAGCAGCTTTATGAAGGCTGGCTGTGAGCTGTAGACTAGAAAGGGAGAAAAAGTTACCTGTAAATTTTTCTTTGTCCACAAAAATAAAGGCAGAAGTCTGAGTGGGCACCAGCAAACGCTACAGAGGCACTTCTTATTCCAATGGCTGGGAAGTGGTGAATTACTCAAGAATCTGTCCAGATGAGATATAAAAACAAAAATATATATATATACACAATATTTTTGAAAATAAATATTTTATTGTAGAGTGATTTTAGATTTACAGAAAAGTTTCAGTGATAGGACAGAGGGTCTCCTTATACCCCTCACTTGGTTTCCCCCCCTTTTTTTTTTTCAATTTGATACAGGATCTCCCTCTGCCACCCAGGCTGGAGTACAGTGGTGCAATCATAGCTCACTGCAACCTCAACCTCCTAGGCTCAAGTGATCCTCCCACCTCAGCCTCCTGAGTAACTGGGACTACAGGTGCTCACCACCATCCCGGGCTAATTTTTTTGAATCTTTTTATAGAGATGGGATTTCGCCCATGTTGCCCAGGTTGGTCTCCAACTCTTGAGCTTAAGTGATCCACCCACCTTGGCCTCCCAAAATGCCAGGATTGCAAGTGTGAGCCACTGCCCCAGGCCAGTTTCCCCTTTTATTAACATCTTATCATGATTTGTCAAAACTAAACTGACATTAGTACATTTCACCAGTTTTTTCATTCATATCCTTTTGTTTGTTCCAGGACCCAGTCTAGGCTACCACATTGCATTGAGTTGTCATGTCCCCACAATCTCCCATGTACTGTGAGATTTTCTCAGGGTTTCTTCATTTTTTATGACCCTGACAGTCTTAAGGAGTGCTGGCCAGGTATCCTGTAGAATATCTCCCATTGTGTGTTTGACTGATGCTCTTCTCATCTTATACTGGGGCTACATACATAACATTTTGTTTTAACTTCAAACATATAGATTATCATCACTAGCCAGTATTTTGATGAATGATGAATACCTTTGGGGATGCGTTCCCTAATTGGAGTTGCACATCTTCCTTGCATAAACCACAGCCATAATGCACCATCTCTGAATTCTGGATTCAAGTTTGGATTATAGGCACGCACCACCACACCTGGATAATTTTTTTTTTTTTTTTTTTTTTTTTTTTGTATTTTTAGTAGAGACGGAGTTTCACCATGTTGGCCAGGATGGTCTTGAACTCCTGACCCCAAGTGATCTGCCCTCCTCAGCCTCCCAAAGTGTTGGGATTACAGGCGTGAGCCACTGTGCCTAGCCCCAAGAAACATTTTGAGGGGAGTTAGGAAGTGAGATGGGGAAGGAAGGAGTCCGTCTAGATGGCATTATCAGGCCAGCTACCACTGTGGGCACCAGGAGCTTAACCCTGCTGGGCAGCTCTGGGAAGCAGTGCAGAGCACACCCCAGAGCCATCCCACCAAGGGCAAGGGGCTGGGGGCTTATACACTGGTTCCTGCCAGATGTGGGAGGCAGATCTAGGGGTGGAAGGGGGTGGTGCTAATTCTCTAGCATTTTGGGTCAGAGTAAGGTGTGTTGGTTTACCTGAGTCAGAAAGCCCTCAGGTAAAAGGATGCCAGTGCTGGCCGTTGCAGTCAGGCCTGTGTGCACTGCAGTGCAAGGCAGAGAGGATGTGGGCTGGGTATGGGCAGTGTCCACTGTATTCTTTTCACCTGGACAGTCTGTTCTGTCCAGCACTCAGCACTCCTCTCTCCCCACCTTCTTGAATCATTCAGGCCCATCTAAGCTTACTCCCTCCTTTACTCATATCCCTGATGAGCAGGTAGTGCTGTCAGGACAGCGTAGATCTCACTTCTTATCTGTATTTCTCACAGAGCCTAGCATGGTTTGATGGGTAGAAGCTCTCTCTGTTGACCCCTACCTAGCTTACTTCCTGATTAGCTGCTGATGTACAGTCCCTCAGCGAAGCCCCTGCCTGAGGCTCCTCGCTCACCCAGTGCACAGGCACCTCCTATACTTCCCTGCTGCTGACTCGATGCTCCCCTTGAGTGTCCTGCGTTTGTGCCTAAACCTGCTTATGTCAGCTGTGATATAATTTAGAATAAATCAACTAAATTAAGTGCATTGAATAATTAATGAATTAAATTGAACATTATGTCATCTAATTAGACACAAGTGCAAATATGGTCTCTTTTTTTGACACATGGACATGTATGTTTATTGCAGCACTATTTACAATAACAAAGACTTGGAACCAACTCAAATGTCCATCAGTGATAGGCTGGATAAAGAAAATGTGGAACATATACACCATGGAATTACTATGCAGCCATAAAAAAGAATGAGTTCATGTCCTTTGCAGGAACATGGATGAAACTGGAAGCCATCATTCTCAGCAAACCAACCCAGGAACAGAAAACCAAACACTGCATGTTCTCACTCATAAGTGGGAGTTGAATAATGAGAACACATGCACACAGGAAGGGGAACACCACACGCCGGGGCCTGACAGGGGTGTGGGGAGCAAGGGTAGAGAGAGCATCAGAACAAATACCTAATGCATGTGGGGCTTAGAAACCTAGATGACTGCTTGATAGATGCAGCAAACCACCATGGCACATGCATACCTATGTAAGAAACCTGCACGTTCTGCACCTGTGTACAGAACTTAAAAAAAAAAAAAAGGAAGAAGTTCAAGTCCAGGCTGGGCAACACTGGTGGACCCCTTTCCTTTAAAAGGTCACCACCACCTGACTACCAAGCTGAGATCTAAGGACCTCCAGGAAACATTGAACACGCTCTCTCTGCCTGCAGATACAGAAACGGGAAGTCTCATCTTGGGTCCTAGTCTTCCCAAAGCGCTATAGTCACAGCGAAAATGGAAGTGCTGAAAAGCCCACCGTGTGTCTGCAGACCAGGAACCTAAAGGTAGCTGAAGGAGAAAACTGGCGTATCACAGATACCAGGTGTGCGAGCTACTCTGCAGTGCTCTTCCCTTACTAATTTTGCAAAGACATATGTATCGCTCAAGCAAGTGCACCGTTTCTGTCAATACGTGGAGTGGACAGAACAAGCTCCTATTCCATCTCCCTACTCCAAAAACCCATCTAACATATTGTCCTCAGATAAAGAATGAATCAGATGTTAAACTGATAAAACCTGATACTACACTTAATCTTAACTAAAACGCCGAAAGGCAATAGTGTTGTTCTCGGCCCCCTCCGTTACCGTCCCACTCCCATCCACATTCAAGGCGCAGTGAGAGCCCCAGCCTCGCTCCTTGCCTCATTCCCTTTGTCTCGTCCACACCACTATTGATGCCATTACACACTCGGGCTGAGTTCTTACTCTTCACGTGTAAAAGGGAAATCTTACACTCGTACTTGTTCCGGTGTTCCCGGGCTTTCATTTCAAATTTGCATGCCCCGCGCTTTCCCAGAGGGCGTGGCCTCCAGGGTTGATTCCGCCCCCGGGGCCGCCACCTGTTGGGGAGCCGGAGCTCCACTGGGGGCGACCTCCTTGTTTGTATGATCCGAGAGAAAAGACAGAACTGAAACAGACTGAGGGCTAAAGCGAGAGGGGTCTGTGGAAGAGACCTGTCGGCGGAGAGCGGTCCACGCAAACATGATCATTTTTAAGAAAACTAAGATAAGTGCTTTGGAAAGATAATTTGCTAACAAAATTTGCTGTTAAATGGCTTTGAAGTGCTTTTAGGTTCATTCTCCTTTGGCAGACACTGTTGCCTGGGTAACTCCACCCTTTTCTTCCTGATCTGCTTCTGCTATAGATGCTGGAAAACTAAGTGCATGAATTCCCAAGCTGTCTTCGTGACTGGATATGTCTATGACCCACTTCTGACTAAAGAGTAGCTAAAAATCTGACAGGGAAGAGGGCAGTCTGATAAAAACTGCTTTCCTGATATAGTGGACAGATGTACTTCAGCTTTTTCCTGCCTTGAATATAGATGTAATACCCAGAGGTGCAGCAACCATTTTGTGATCATGAGGCTGCAAGCCAACACTGAAGACTAATAGAATGGAAAGAGCGACAATGCTTGGGTCTTTTGTGGAATCACGGAGTCACAGCACTGATGTTGGAATGTCTCCCTTTAGACTATTTGATGTCCTCGGCTGGACGCGGTGGCTCACACCTGTAATGTTCCTAACTCCCCTAAAGATGTTTCTTGGGGCTGGGTGAAGTGGCTCACGCTTGTAATCCCAACACTTTGGGAGGCTGAGGAGGGCAGATCACTTGGGATCAGGAGTTCAAGACCATCCTGGCCAACATGGCGAAACCCCATTTCTACTAAAAATACAAAAATCAGTCGGGTGTCATGGAGGGCGCCTGTAATCCCAGCTACTCGGGAGGCTGAGGCAGGAGAATTGCTTGATACCAGAAGGCGGAGGCTGCAGTGAGCTAAGATCGTGCCTCTGCACTCCAGCCTGCATGACAGAGCACACACTGTTTAAAAAAAAAAAGGTTTACTGGGATTACCTCCCAAATAAACTATTTAGAGGCAAATCTGCATCACAGGATCTATTTATGAGAAATACTAAGACAAAGCATATTAACAATAGTCACTTCCATTGATTGAGGTTTTAAATATGGGCCTTGAACTTGAACTTGAGAAATGGTGTGCCAGGCAGCTCACATGCATTATCTCACCCACCTTTATAACAATTCCACAAGGGAGCAGCTATGTTATTATCGTCAGGCAAAAAGTTGATGTTGGCTGGGTGCAGTGGCTCATGCCTGTAATTCTAGCACTTTGGGAGGATGAGGCAGATGGATCACTTGAGCTGAGGAGTTTGAGACCAGCCTGGGCAACATGGCAAAAAACCGTCTCTACAAAAAAGTATAAAAACTAGCCAGAAGTGGTGGTATATGTCTATGGTCCCAGCTACTTGGGAGGCTGAAATAGGAAGATCACTTGAATCTGGAAAGCAGAGGTTGTCGTGAGCCATAATCACATTACTGCGCTTCAGCCTGGGTAACAGAACAAGAACAACAACGAAGTTGAGGATCAGAGAGGTTAAGTAATTTGTTCAACTACACACAGCTAAAAAATGGCAGACATCAACGGAGGAATGGATAGGATAAACAAATCGTTTATCCACAGACACACACACGCACATTCACACACACACAGGAATATTATTCAAGTCTTAAAGGAATGAAGTACTGATACATGCTACAAAATGGCTGAACCTCAAGAACATCATGCTAAGTGAAAAACCCAACACAAGAGGCCACATGTTGTACAATTACATTTATATGAAATATCCAGACAGATGAATCGATGGACACAGAACGGAAACAGGCAGTTGCCAGGGGCTGGGGGAGGGAGGGAATGGGGAGAACGTGCTTGATGAATGAGTTCACTTTGGGGTGATGGAAATGTTTTGGAACTGAGTAGAGGTTGTGCTTACAAACCATTGTGAGTACACTCAACGCCACTGAATTGTTCACTTTAAAACGGTTAATTTTATGATATGTGAACTTCCTGCTCAATCATTTTTTTATGACAGAGCTGGGAGTTTAAGCTAGGTGACTCTAACCAACAAACTCTGATGTCAGTGATCCCCAAAGTGCAATCCCAGACAGCAGTGCAGCATCACTTGGGAAGCTGCTAGAAATTCTCATTATTAGGCCTCACCTCAGATCTACAGAATCAGCAGCTCTGGAGGTGGGGCTTAGCCATCAGTGTTTTCACAGACCCCCCCAAGCGACTCAGATGAGCTGAAGTCTGAGGAGAACCGCCCAGAAATCAACATGAGTCTTATTCTCCATCACACTCAGCCAATCTCAACCCATACATTTCATGTGGAAATAAAGTATTTGTGGTTTCCTTGATATTAGGACTTCAAGGGCTCATGTGGGTGTGAGTTTGTGTGTGTTGAACTCATCACACGGCACCCAAGTTTAGCAGCCAAGGTGGGATCAGGATGCCCTTTCTTTCAAGGTGTATGGACGCCCCCCAAAGCACAGTGCAGAGAGCTGGGCTGGATCACCTTGGCAGGCGAGAGGCCTTGGCAGGCCTGATGCATCCATCTTCACCTGACTGTCAGGAGGCTTGGGTGGGGCGGGGCGCCTGTTCACTAGACCAGCTGAGCCCAAACCGGCAAATGTTTCCCCATGATAAAACAGGAGGAGATTCAGGGGCCATGCCAAAAATAAATCTCCTAAATATCCCCAGGCTCCACTGCCTTCCAAATCTGTCCCTTCTTCAGTACCCAGTGAATTTACTAACAAAAGCAGTTAGAGAATTGAAATTATGTTCATTTTTATACTGGGTTTAGAGCTTTAGTTCCATTCCGGGGACAAAACTCTTGAAAGTAGTGGCTCATTTTAAAAACAAATTCCAATGACATAGCCAAAATACCCCAACCTAGCACATGGGATTCCCTTTTCAGTCCCTTTCAGGAACTAATGGAGCATTAGTTCCTGAAGATGTTACTAGGAATGTCTGGAAAAAGGGCCTGGCGGACAATTGAACTTGAGAAATGGTGTTTTCTCAGCCCATCTTTTGGAGAGTCACAGTGCACATTCGCGTATTAAAGGCTCTGAGAGATCCTGCAGCACAAAACCCTGCTTCACTGTGTCCAACTCAGGCTGTCACAAACTCCAAACTTATTTAAGAGGCAGCAGAGCCCAGCAGTTAAATGCAAGCCCTGGAACCAGCATCTGGGTTCATAACCTGACTCAGCCACTGGCTGTGTGACTGCAGGGAAGTTAGTCGCCCTCTCTGTACTTCAGTTTCCTCATTGATAGATGAGATGAAAACTGACCAAGTTCAGAGGGACCGTATGAGGACCAGCTGAGTTAACGCAGATACAGCAAATACAAGGCCTTACACCACTTAGCACATGTTCCATCCATGTTAGATGTGTGTTACATTTTTAAAAATCACTTAATTGGGGTGGGGCGCGGTGGCTCATGCCTGTAATCCCAGCACTTTGGCCTATAATCCCAGCACTCTGGGAGACCGAGGCAGGCGGATCATGAAGTCAGGAGTTCGAGACCAGCCTGGCTAACATAGTGAAACCCCGTCGCTACTAAAAATACAAAAGTTAGCCAGGTGTGGTGGTGGGTGCCTGTAGTCCCAGCTACTCGGGAGGCTGAGGCAGGAGAACCGCTTGAACCCGGGAGGCGGAGGTTGCAGTGAGCCGAGATTGCACCACTGCACTCCAGCTCGGGCGACAGAGTGAGACTTCGCCTCAAAAAAAAAAAAAAAAAAAAATTACTTATCGGTTTAATACAACATCTTGCCGAGCCTAGTCCACTGAGCACATTTTTGATAATGTAAGAAATACGACCTTACCTTTGTCTGAAACACAAAGAAAAGAACAATGGGCTGTTCCTATTAAAAGGAAAAAGTTTAGAACCAACTGTTCCTTTTAAAGCCTAACTAGATACTGACTGAGCAGCAAGTGTGGATTCATCATTCTGCTGGGAGCCCTCTACCTATATGCCTGCTCTTCCGTTTTTCCCTAGATTTCCCCTGGATATAGATTCCTTTTGGAATGGTCTCCAAATATGTAGACAGAAACAACAGAGATGGGGCCGGGCACAGTGGCTCATGCCTGTAATCCCAGCACTTTAGGAGGCCGAGGCGGGCACATCACTTGAGGTCAGGAGTTCGAGACTAGCTTGGTCAACATGGCAAAATCCCATCTCTACTAAAAATACAAAAATTAGCTGGGTGTGGTGGTGTGCACCTGTAATCCCAGCTATTGGGGAAGCTGAGGCAGCAGAATTGCTTAAACCTGGGAGGCAAAGGTTGCAGTGAGCCAAGATTTCACTACAGCACTCCAGCCTGGGTGACAGACCAAGACTCTGTCTCCAAAAATAAAATAAAATAGGCCAGGCATGGTGGCTCACACCTGTAATCCCAGCACTTTGAAAGGCCAAGGCAGGTGAATCACCTGAGGTTGGGAGTTTAAGACCAGCCTGGCCAACATGGTGAAACCCCATCGCTACTAAAAATACAAAAAAATTAGCTGGGCATAGTGGCGAGGGCCTGTAATCCCAGCTACTCGGGAGGCTGAGGCAGGAGCATCACTTGAACCTGGGAGGTGGAGGTTGCGGTGAGCCAAGATCACACCAGTGCACTTCAGCCTGGGTGACAGAGCAAGACTCCATCTCAAATAAACAAATAAATAATAAAATAAAATAAACAGGGGAAAAGACGTGTCAGTGGT